TATATATATATATATATATATATATATATATATATATATATATATATACACAAATTAACCCAGATAGCCAATTATCTATGAGAATTCTCTATTAACTTCTATTTATCTCTGTGCTATCTGAGTCAACATTTTCTCATTAACACATCTTTGAAGATCATGCTACTAACTGGATAATTGCAACGATGCAATGCTTGTGAGTAAGAAATGGTAGGACAAGTTCTATAAAGCTTATTCCTAGGAGTCAAATTCTTGACTTTAATAGCATAAAATGTTATGCGCAATGGCGCAATATTGGGAAATTATGTAAATTCAATGTAAATACCCAGTAAGCAATCTGCGCGCAGACTGACGTCAGACTATCGACAGGATCTGTCGAATCCGAGCAGGATCTGTCGACAGATCCATAGACATCTGCGTCCCCAATCTGCCGCTAAACTGTTGACAGGGTCTGCGAACAGACTCTGACGACAGACTGGCGGCAGATTGCGCGCAGAGCCTGTCGACAGACTATGACGGCAGATTGGCTGCAGATTGCGCGCAGATCCTGTCGTTTCGGTTCTTCAATTAAATTTTTTCATAATTTTTCATAATTACTCATAGAATAAGCGCTTTCTCATAAATACTCATAAAATACTATGACAAAAAAATTTTTCTACATTATTTTTTCATAATTTTTAATATTTTCTCTAGTGAGATTCGAACTTGAACTGATTATCTTTTGGATAATCGTCCGTCGCCTTAGACACTACGCCAATTCCTCACTTGATAAAAAGCGTTTTGTATTGTCTATTTAAAGTTTAAGGAAAAAAAATATTATAGTTTGTTCGCCTTTTAAGCCGCAAAATATAAACGAAACCGTTTAGCGTTTAAATAATGTAAGAGAGACTGTTACGATAATTCGAAATTAATTTTCTACCAAGGAATGTATAGAAAATTATTGCAATAAAACAGCAGATAATGACATTTTTCTATCATGTTAATAAAATACTGTACTTTTACATGTGCGAATTAATTTGGTCGATCGTCCCGTTCAGATTGTATTAAGTTTTATCAAAATCGAAGCATGATATATTTTTAAATAAACCATCAAAAAAATTCTGTAAAAGTTATTTACATAGCGAGACTAATATTTTATTCGGTGCTGCTGCCTTCAATACTTATTGCATGACGGTTAAATCGGATTTAATGACATAACAACATTAAAAAAAATAATAAGATGAGAAATTGTATGAAAAATTATGAGAACAATTTTTACCAGGAATGACATGTGTACGCCTTTAAATGGCCATTTAACCGTTGTACTATTCTATACTTGTATTCGTTATTTCTCTATTATTGTTGTTTTTTTATAAAAAATGTGTAATACAATTTTAAAATATAAACATTGTTTTTTATTGTGTATATGTGTACAATTATTGCACAATATAATTATCTTGACTTCTCTGCAGCATGGTGTGTATGTGAAACTGCCCCATTTAATAACGTACATATGGCCCTTAATAGAATTAAATAGCCTATCTAGGAAACAGAATCTGCGCGCAGTCTGTCGTCAGAATCTGTCGACAGGCTCTGCGCGCAGTCTGTCACCAATCTGTCGTCAGAGACTGCTAAAACAGTTTCTGTATGCAGTCTGTTGCCATTCTATCAACAGATACTGTTGACAGACTTTGCGTAAAATCTGCTTGCACAGGTTTGGCTATCTGGAGCAGTAATATAATTTATTTTGTAATATCATTTAATTTTAATAAAAATTATATTTTTCGTCCATTTATTGTTAATTTAAACCTTAACTAGTGAAGTGAGGTCTACGAAAGTGAGGTCACCGCACATTCCATTTCGATCTTAAAATTTGTATAGTAAACATTTTTTTATTGCTCCTATTAAATAAACAAAATCGTAAGAGATTATAAAATAACGTGTAAATATTTAAATATAATATTGGCAATAGATTACCATTTATTCAGAGATCAATATTAATATTGTATTAGGAAATATTGGCCCATATACTTCTAATGTAAACGCAATATCGTGTAATTGTTGGAACATAACCCAAGTAGCAAAACTCATTGGTTTTACATTGGCTAAACATTGGTTATCTTGGAAATACATTGGCCAATATTTCCCAATATAAAATGAATGTTGATCTCAGAATAAATGTTAATCTATTGTGTGCCAATATTACACGTCAATAAATACGCAATATTGCATTTACATTGAAAGTGCATACATTTAAAGGCCAATATTTTCCAATATAATATGAATATTACATATAGAGTGAAAGTCAATGTACGGCCAATATTATCCCAGCAAACACAGATATATATCAGTTACCAGGTGTAGAAGTATGAAACCGGAATTTTTTTATACAAATAAGACGTCTGTTGTTCGAAAGTGATAAATAAT